ACACACACACACACAAAAGCTTTATATACTTAAGTCATTATACCAACAAGGCAAATTATTTTAAAAACAACTGGTTAAAAATAAAACTTTCTAAGAAGACAAATATTTCCACACAAAGAGAATATATACATGTTATCATTAAAAGCAATGCTACTGCAGTATTTTCCCTTTGGACAGTTTTCTAAGGAACTGTCTGTTCTGCATCTGACTGTGGTGGCTGTAACACAAATGTGGACCTATTAGGATTCACAGAAATGTGAAAAAATTAAAGACCTAGAAAATAATTCCAAATTCCCATGATATGATCGGCCCTCCCTCTCCCTAAGCCTAGAACCCATCAGAACTTCTAATAACCCAATCCACTCCGTGATGATCCAAAGTCCTGAGATGATCCGTCTCCAGGATCACTTCGTCCTACCTCCACATGCCTGCCCAACCTCCACTACAAACACAGGTCTGTTCCTCCTCCAGCCCAATTTTTCTCAGCACAGATTTTGATCTCAGCTGCTGCAGCCAGCACCAGCCCAGCTACTTGTTCTCCTTGTACACGCCAAGTTCCATCCACTGTATTTCTTATCCATTTTACCCTTCAAGTATGAAGGGCAAGGGTAAGAAGTTTTCCTTTCCTGAAACTTTCCCAAGGCAGATTGCTGTGCTTCAAAAGTTAAAAACTACCTGCATATGCAAAGACAGAACCCTGAAATAAGTTTATTTTTTAACAAACCAGACACACTCCCTGCCCTCTGGAGCTGACAATCTAAGGAGGAAACGGACACCCACACTCACACTACAAACAGTTCATTACAGGAAAGTGTAAGACAAAAAAGAAAACTACTTTTTCAAAGATCACAGGAATTTCAGAAGAATCTGAAATAGACTGAAAGGCCTGGAAGTTTCCATGAGGAAAATGGTTCTAGGCTGTACAGCAATGCCCAACACTCACCCTGTGAGGCCAATAGGCAACAGCCACAGACACATGGCAGCCAAAGCCTAAAAAGGAGTAACAACTAAATGACAACACAACAAACTGTAAGTCAAGAAAAAGAATGTAAAGTTACCTTGCATAAGGAATGTACTTTCATTTGTTCCAGAACTTATGAAGCATACACATACAGTGCAATGCCAAGTACTTTACACAACATAATCAGCAAAGCACACTGGTTTAATATTCACTATCTGAAAGTATCTGTATGGCCATAAAGAACAAAACACGTGAAATAAATTCTTTAACTTTAATACATAATATACTAAGGATACAACCACTGAACTTCATTTAAGATTTGTCAGACAAGCTTCATATTATTTTTAATACAAAATCATAAATATGGGCCAGCCAGATAGCTCAGCAGATGAAAGTACCTGCTTAGGCAGAGCACAATGGCCAGGGTTTGATCCCCTGTGTGCCATGCCAGTCCCGCCCCCAGGGCACGCTGAGGCAGGAATTGAGACTGGGTATGGTGGCACACATGCCTGTAATCCCAGCAGTAGGGAGGCTGAAAGCAGGAGAATCACTATGAGTCCAATCTACGTAGTGAAACCCTGCACACCTGTAGACCCTGCCCTAAATTAAAAAATAAAATAAAAATAAAAATAAAAAGCAAATGTTACTTAAAAGTCCCATTTTAGAAAAAAGTTACTTCCATCACCCTTTAAGGATTGTAACTAAGCATGCTTTCTCTAGTACAACTTGGGCTCTGTTATAATCTTTCATATGAATCAAAGTTAAAAAATCAGTGTTTTAGTATTTTTAATCAAAAGTTAGAAGGCATCAAATATATATTTTGCAATGCTTTTATTTATCCATGTAGATATAAAATTATATATTTAAGAATGCTTTTTAGTTACTAGCTGGTCCATAAGAAAAAACTACAAAAAGTGATCCTATAAAACTATATCTCAGGTGATTTGGGTCCTCAGAAGAGAAACTTGAAAGGTCAATTACTCAGTAACCCTTCTAAGTACAACAGAAAACAATCTGCTAGTGGTAACATGAAGAGAATCCCTACCATTTTCTTTATCACAGAGGGAATGCCTCATAAAGTGCCCTCATTTACTCATATGAAATAGCCCTTCTATTCCCTAGTTTCTGAAGTTACACAAAAGTCTACAACCCCCAAAATGTACTTATTAAAGATTATCTCAATACAAGATCTATTATTTTATATTATTTAACTGTCCTTCCTGAAATTTACCCGGATGTTGCAGAACAATTTCCGGAACTGCTCATGGTTGATTCATCTATTTATTTTAAAGCAGAATTCCTCAGCAACACACAATACAAAAGACACAGGCTAACAGTCTTCACATACTTTAAAAAAGGTTCATCTGAAACAAAAAAGATGACTTCCCACTCATTATTTTTCCTCATGACTAAACTGTACATTAAAAAACGTATCTATGGAGGTTTTCAAATCAATGTGTGCATCCCATTGTCATGACACAGTCATTTAAACTTCTCATCTGTAAAACACAAAATAATAAATTATGAAAACAAGGAGGATAAAAGCATAAAGTGCCACCAGTTTATAAAATGAAAATCATAACAGTTTAGGACATGTGATGCAAAATATTGTAAGTTATACATTTTTCTGGATAATTCCTGAAATTCGTCTTGATTGGAAAAGTAACAGAAGATCAATATAGAAAATTCGGAAAATAAGGGGGAAAAAATCATTGTAACCCTGCCATTCAAAGGAACTCACTACAGTTCCAATTCTAGAAGTCTTTCATGATTTTAGCTGTATTGTCATGGCTGCCCCCATGTCCTGAATCAATTCAAAATGTTTACTTTTCATGATCACTTGGACTTTGGCAGAGAGCCATGTCACATGTTGCCGTACCCAGTGAATAAGATGGACAAGGACAAACCCTGTTTCTATGAGCCCACCTTTCCACAAATGGCACGTGTCCACCATAATTTTGATCACACCTCATAAAGGCATGAAAGAGGACTTTCAGAACTGCTTCAGAAAGTGGCAAGAATGATGGGATAAGTGTGCTCAAGCCAAGGGGGAGTGTTCTGAGAGAGATTAATAGCAACATGCCTTTTATTGTGATAATTTGACTCTATATTCTGATCACCCCCATACCAAGGAATTGGGTTTTAGGGCCGGCCAAATAGCTCAGCAGATTAAAGAGCCTGCAAGCAGGAACAGGGGCTAGGGGTTCAATCCCTGGGCCTGCTGTGCCGGCCCCACCCCCAGGGGCGTGCTGAGACTGCAATTTAGACTGGGCATGGTGGCCCACACCTATAATCCCAGCTCTTGGGAGGCTGTGAGCATGCGGATCACCACAAGGCCAATCTAATAGTGAGACCTGGAACACCCTGTAGGTAGACCCTTCCCTAAAATTAAAAAAAAAAACCTTGGTTTTCAGACATACACAAACCTACATATTTTCTGAATAAATTTACACACTGTATTTCACTTTTATTTTTTGCTCACTTAATATACAGTATATTATTTGTAATGTTAAAAATCCTAATACAGGGGCCAGGGAGATGGCTCAGTGGAATAAGTGCTTCCCTGGCAAGCACAAGGGCCTGAGTTCAATCCCTGGTTCCGCAAAAAAAAAAAAAAAAAAAATCCTAATACATTTTGACAACTTACTATACAGATGTGTCAGAATATATCTAACCATTTCCCTATGTTAGGACATTTATTTCAGTTCCAATTTTTTAACAAAATAAGTAAGATTGTCATATAAATTACCTCAACTACTAAAGAAACAAAGTATCCAGGAGAATGGAAGGGCCAGTCAGTCCAGCACAGCAACTCAAGCCAGAGGCCTGCCCTACAACAAACTGCGGATCTCTGTCTTAGAAAGCAACTTAAGCCCAGGTCATTTTTACCCTTACATTTTAAATCTTGAAATTCATCTTCTTGGACTTTTAAGAAATAATTTTTTTTTTTTCATAATAGTTTCAAACTTAATCATTTGGTCTTGAAACTCAAGAAAAAGAATATTATCTTAAAATTTCAAACCTAAAAACTTGAAATAAAACAATAATGCTTGTGATTTTCAATATAAAGACAACTTTTCTTCTTAATACTTACTCGGTATGAGAAAGCTTCATTTCTTCCCTTTGTTTTGTAGAGTAATTTAGGTTCCCCCCTAAAACACAAACAGTCTTTTCATTGTAATGTTAAGTAAAATATAGCCATGTACAAACATTTGCATAGTTGTATTCCTTTTAAGTAATAAAAAAAAAAAGAGAGAAAGAATAAAATTCTCATGTGACATAAATAATCACTCAATTTTAGTTGTTTCAAGTTTGGAATGATGTATTTCTTCAAGTTTTACTAACTGGAATGTTGTGCAGTGGACCCCCGAAATTCATGGGGGTTATGTTCCTAGGTCTTCCCTTGAATTGGGAGAAACCACCAATTTCAGATATGGTCAGAAAAATCCCTGTAAGTGACTATTTTTGTGGTTCAAATCCTAAATATGCTGTTTCCCAGATATATAATTTAATAAAATACGATACTTTATTAATAAAGCCTTAGAAGGTCAACGTGTTTTGGCAGTATCTTGGTTATCTTATGACTTTACAGACATCAAAACCAAGAACGATAGAGATAGCTACACATGGTAGCACCTGTTATGATACGAAGGCGGATGCGGCTATCAGAGATGGGTTACAAGGCAGCAGCCAATCAGCAGCAAGGAGAACTGTTTTCAGATTGGCTACCTGCAAACCTTCCACGAAAAAGTAATTGTGGATAGCTGCAGCTTCCACAAAAATACAGGGGTTTCTATGAACAATTATTTGTTATGTTATAAGGAAAAATCCAGGAACAACTGCACCCAGAAACTCTGACCAAAACTTTGTAGGGGTATACTGTATTAACATCCAGTAACAGTGATAATTAAGGGAAATTTAAGGAAACTGCATGTATATTATATTCTACTAAGCATACAACATCCTCTACAGCAGGCTGTCAGAAAAATGAATACGGGCAATCTCAAAACTCTGAAGAAAAAAAAAAAGACTAAACCATATACCAGTACTAGTCTAAAACAATTTATAACTTCTAAAAAAAATGTGTAATTTCTAATTCTAAACACTTTAAACCTTAAAATACAAATTGTAAATATAAATCTGCTAGCTCATTTTTTTTCAAAATAAAGATAAAAGTTGGGCACAATGGCCCAGGTTTCTAATCCAGCACTCTGGGAGGTGGAGGCAGAGGCAGGAGCTGCTCAGCTTTGCAAGAGTCTGCCTCAAAATTAAAAATAAAACAAGACTTGAGGACGTAGCTCACGGTGATGGCTCTGAGTTCAATCCCCAGTGCCACCCCCCACCAAAAGATTTAATATCTTAAGTCCCTACATCATCTTTTAAATTCTGTATTTCTTTCCCTACGTTATCTTTTAAATTCTGTATTTCTTTATGCTAATATAAAAGTAACATCTAACATTTTATATTACAAACCTCAAAATGACCCAGCTAGAAAACAAAGAACAATTTCAATAAATATGACATTCTAGAATACTAACTCTGCATTTTGTAATTAAGTGTGCTTCGCTTTGAATGAGAAGTCACTATTGCATGAACCAAGACTCCAGCCCTCAAAGAGACATGCAGAGAACGACAAAAAAGAGCTTGAGCAAAACACCAAAACTTACCCTGGGCATGATTCACCAAATAAAGTAAGACCACAGATAAAAGTGCCACTAGAAATAATTTTAAAAAAAAAGATCTTTTAGAAATATGTATTTCTTTTCAATGATTGCTATGTAATCCTATTTACAAAGTACAATTTAAACCAAAAAAAAAAAAAAAACTGTATTGACTGGCAGTTATAATAATCCTATTCACATTATTTTGTTTCTGAAAGCACCACGGAAGATGATTGATTCTCAGCCCAGGGGCTGCAGAGTCAGAAGGGGAGAGGCTAAGAGCCCACAGGAGGGGGCCGGCTGCCTGCAGGCCATCGCCCATCTCCTTCCCTACATGCATATCCTTCCAGGCACTTCTCCAAACTCCTGTCTACTCCTAGGCTGGAGTTTATTATTTCACAGAACTCATCTTCCCTTAAGGATTTTAATTCTGAAAATACAATGTCTGTTTTACAAACAAAATAACCAAAGACACAGTATTAAGACTCCCATTACTCCGCAAGCAGTAAAGACCTCAAACATCAGCATTTGGCTTTTTCTTTATCAAGTGAGGTACACTGTTTAATTTACTTTTTATCTGGCAAAAAAGTTTTAAGTGGCATGGTGGTTTGTTTGACTCAAACACATGCTAAGTTAGGGACTGAAATTAAACTTCTTGTTGCAGCACCAAAAGTGGAAAGAAACACTTCACAGCCTAATGCTCTGAATTCTTAAAGGACCCCTCTTTTAAAAACAAATGGTTCCCCAAACTTGATGTGCTTATTTCTAAAATTATGAATAGTAAAATGAATTCCAGGGTATGCAGCAGCAGTGATATGCCAATACCACACTTCGTTTCAAGTATATACAGTCTACTTGCAAATGAAAATAGAACTTGTGAAACTCATTGTAGTTTGTTATGCAAATAAATTAATGAAGTATGAAAGATAATTTTGATATGTTATGAAGGAATATATTTTTAGATAAATACAATTCAGCTCTATGGTAAAGATTTTCTATGGAAAAATATTATCTTTAGTTTTTTGATGTTTTCCTGACGCTTCCTATTTTTAACCAATACATAGGTAAATATGAAATAACAGACTAAAAATAAAATGAATAAACCATGAGCAGTCACACCTAAATCACACTGATCTCTATACACTCACACTAGGGACACACTCAGGGCCCTCAGAATTAGTGCACTTTAAGGAGGAAATTTTCTTAAAAGCCTAAATATTTAAAACAGGGCATAGGACTAATCCTGCTGCTGCTGTCACAAATATAAATCTCCTCAAAAAAGTGTTGGAATTGTCAGTGAACTGACTGTAGAACACCAGTTGTAGAAGTCTGGCCCAAAGGCTAAGAATTAGGTGAATCTGAGTAACTATACCTTAGAGATAGGCTTTGGAGGTAACAGTGGACAAATGACAGCTCAAACCTAATGACATAAATGAGAACATCATGCTGTATTGAAAGAAACGAAACACTGTTAACATGGCATACTCACAAGAAACACAGCCAATGAAGAAAACTTCTAAAAATAAATACCCCCGAGTATCCAATATCAGGCCAGCAATAATGGAAATAATCGCCAACCCAAGATTCTGAATGGACTGCATGCTGCAATTTAAGAAATACAAAAGCACATTAAATTTTCGAAACTCTTCAAACATAGATTAGTACTTCACTATGCATATTAGTATCTTTAAGCCACGTAAGTTGAGAGATGTTTTAACCACAGATGGCTTGAGACAAGTTTTCTTATTCTACGACACTTTCTGCTCAAAGGTAAGGAAACTTGCTTTCTGTGTGAAATCAGCACTCAGCACTAGCCTGCTGAGTTAAAGAAAGGCTAGGGGGTTATCAACCACAGGTGGAGCTGTCCCCATTTTCCTTTCTAGGACAGAAAGAGACTCAATTTTTTCACTGAGAAGTGCTCAGATACATGGGTAGGGAACAGTAAGATAAGCAATTATTCCTACAGGTTAGCCTACACTAGCCATCACAGGGAAGCCTAGAACTTGTGTTGCCTAAACAGATTAACTTTTCCAAATATCTCCAGATTCATAGCTGTCCCATAAACCTAAAGATGACTGGATTCAGGAGATTGGAAGTTTTATAATTGATATTTATGATCCACCATGTACATGTTATACTTACAAGCCATAGGCAGTTCCCAACTGATGTTCAGGAACTAAAAATGCCACCATTGGCCACAACGCACAGGCAAGTAGTGAATAGGAGAGTCCCAGGAGACACTACAGACAGCAAGCCAAAAAGATAAAGTCTTGTATTAGCCAAAAGGTGATTTTGCTTCAATGCAAATTAGTGAAATCAATATAGTTAGCTAAAATATAAAAGGAAATTTTGTGATTATACTGAAACTGATATTCAAAAATATACAAAAAAAGTGTTGATTTCTCTATTAAGGATCTCCTTTTTTTTAATGTATTTGGTGCTTAGTCTCCCTACACAGCTCAGACTCACAGTAATCCTGTTTTCAGCCTTCCCAGCACTGGGCTTACAGGCATATGTCACCACACTCAGTTTCAGTGGCCAGCTCAGTGCACCCAAAGGCGGGGCCAGCATGGCATGTGGTGCCAGGGACTGAACCCCAGTCCCTGTGCTTAAGCAGGGGCTTAGTCCACTGAGTTACCTCACTGGCCCTAAGGGTATCCTTCTGAAGACAAAGTGCACACTGTCTTAACTACAATTAGTTGTCATCGTATCGTATCACCCGCATACATAACAGGCCCAGGGTATAATCTAAGACCAAGCAAGGAAAAGTTAATTTGCAGAAAGTTCTTATGTAAGTTTTAAGAAAGCCAATTTTCCATTATTTGTTAGGGATAATAAATTAAGCAATCAAAGAAACAGTCTGACAATGGCCTGCCTTCTTGCCTCTGGGTCATCTACACTCAACTAAAAAGCAGAGCGGAAAACTCACTACCACCACTACTGGTTGTCAGACAACATCTAATATTGGCATTTTTTCAATTAAAAAAGAAACTTCAAAGATTTAGGTCAGTATAAGCATAACTTAAAGCTATCAGATAAACAAATATTAAAACAATGTTTGTGCCCAACACTGGCAAGGAAAACAGATGCCTCTGGGCATTACTGGTGAAGTTATTTAAAAAACTTCACAACAGCTATCACAATGTTAACAGCAAAGGCTGCCACATCACTTCTACCCTAAGCACCTGGGCTGTCCCTGGAAGAGTACTTCTTTGGAGGGTTTCACCAACAGCATAAGCAATTATATTTAAGATACTCTTTTACTAGCAGGCAAACAATGTAGCACTTCAGCTTATGATCTTAAAGAAGATCAATGTGAAGATGTGAACTTACTATCAATTTTTAACCTACTGGGGCTGGTGAGATGGCTCAGTGGTCTAAAGCAACTACTTGGAACAAGTTTAGCAAAGCACAGGGACCACGGTTCAATCCCCCAGCACCACATGCCAGCCAGCCCCGCCCCCTGGTGGGCTGAGCTGGCCACACACACACACACACACACACACACACAAATAAATAAAAAAAATTTAAAAAAAAAAATTTTTAACCTACTAAGACTCAAAGACAAGAGAATTGATACTGAGCCAATCAATTTTTTTTTCCTTTTTTTTTTTATTTCTTCCCCCCCCCCCATAATTTTATTGAGAAACAAATAGCGATGAGACAGTTTCAAACCAAATTGGTAGGACAGTTTCAATAATTAACACATTGCATACATTCTTCCTAGTGGTTAATTGCTGTACAAGATGCAGTTATGATATCCTATTTACAAACACTATTAGCCTATCAATTTTTTGCTACTTTGCTTTTTTGGTGGAACCGGGGATTGAACTCAACCCTTGCACTTGCCAGGGAAGCGCTTATTCCACTGAGCCATCTCCCTGGCCCTTTTTGCTACTTTTGATGGAAGGATTTCTTAATGAACATCAGAAAAATAAATGGAAATAACTACCATTCCTGGCTTTCATAAGGGTATTTTATTTCAAATTCTACTTCAGCATTGAGGTTACCCTAAAAGTAAGCCAAATGAAATTAATCTTACACATTAACGATTTATAATAATTTTTGCAGAAATTGAAATTAAGTCACTATTTCCCCACTGTGAAAGCACTGCCATGGACTTGACAGAGTCCTGGCTGAAGCCCTGACCCCTCAGGTGTCAAGACAGACATTACCATAGCAATCCAAGGGTTCCACATGGTGAAGGCCAGCATCATGTGGGACACAAGAGCGGTGGCCACTGCACACAAAACCCAGATGATGTTCTTCCCTGTTTTATCCACCAACAGTCCAAATAATGGGGACATGGGAGCTGAGATGACATATACAACACTGCCCAGAAAATATTTACAGAAGTTAGTAAAATGCCATGTGGCTGAAAATAAGTATCAAGCAAGTTCCTAAAAACATTAAGCAAAGTGAACCCTAACTTACACATTCTTCTAAATGGTAATCAAAAGCAGAAATATAAAAAGCAGGCCAAGACTTAGTTTTCCATTAATGCAAAGATGGACATTCAAGATTCAAGTCCCAATACTGTACAGTCTTAGTTTCATACTGGGGATAAATACTGGGTCCACATACATCTTTTTTACATCTTTATATTTGTTTATAAAGACCATATTTCACATACAATAAGCACTTACAGAATTAAGAAAATACCTGTTAATCGCACTTGCTGCCTGGGAAGAAAATCCAAATTTCTCTGTAAAGAAAACTCTAAAATTAAAGAGAAGTTAATACATCTTTTAAAATTTTTTTTAAAAAATATATTATAATTAAAAATTAATAGTGACTTGAGTTAAATAAACTTTTCTCTTTTGATATTATTTTTTCACCTTATTTGATACTCAATCTACTAAAGCTTAATAATTTATTTAAATATTTCACTGACTTAAAATATGATGCCTAGTTTTCCTTTTTACACACAAATAGTACACACAACTTCTCAGAAAACCAAATTTACTACTATTAAAGAATTAAGGCTGCTTTTTGTGTGAAAGCAGTACTAGATAGGCTCTTTGCTAAATAATAAATAGAATTGTCTCAAATCCTATAAATGACAGCATAAATTTAAAGGTTATACTGACACATTCCCACAAGTATATTTACACTCACATACTGCTCTGTTTAAGCAGCTTCTAATGAAAAAGGAGAGAGAAGTACAAGATAAAGCAAAGAATCTGTTTTGAGCCCTGAACATAAGTCTGGCAGAATCACAGTGTCCCAGCTTTCAGATGGAGAAGCAACCAGTCAGAGTGCACCACCACCTGGTTTCTTTTGCACAGTAAGAGGCCTCCTAACCAAGAAACAGAGAAGAAACAGAAAGAATACTAGTTGAACATCTAGTGTTCAGTCAAAAACTCTTAGGAATTACTTCTTCAAAGAATAAAAGTATCACAGCCAGTGAGATAGCTCAGCTGACTAAGCGCCTACGTAGCAAGCGCAGGGACCAGGGTTCGATCCCCAACACACCAGCCCCATCCCTGGGTATGCTGTGCTGGCCACCAAGTCCAGGAGGGCCTGGTGGTACACGCCTATTATCCCAGTACTAGCTAGGCTGAAAACAGAAGAATCACTACAAGTCTGATCTGTGTAGTGAGACCCTTATAGACCCTAAAATCAATTCCTGTGTAAATATAACCATAAAAGAAAAATACATCACAAAAAAAACCCTGTTATTTATGTGACTGAACTGTTATTTAGCCAAGGAAAGTGGAACACTAGAAAATACTTACTTTCCGAGTCCAATAAAAGGGAACACCACAACATAATAGCAGACACAGATGATAAATATCAGCCAGAGGGGTAAGGAGAAGTCCTTTATATCAGTTAATTTAATAACTTCACCTTAAAGAAAAAAAAGGAGACATTATCAGCATAATTTCACAGATCTAAGGAGCTTTCACCTGTACTCAAGATTTTCTTAATGTGATTAGTCTTTCCAATTCAGCTTTTAAAAACAGTACTCTAGAGAACTGCAAAACTATCATCTCTGGGATAACATTAAAAGACATGTAAGAAAAATCAGAGGCTAAAGCTGATCCTGAACTTCTCACTCCCTTGTGAAAACAATGAATATTTTGCAAATATACCAAGTACAATCAAGATTATAAATACTGTCAAAAAGTTTAAGGGGAAAAAGGTGTCCATAAGCCTAAACAAATGGAAGTAGATTTGAAAATATAAAATAAGACATAGATAACTAGCCTTACCACATTTACAATACTGCATTAGTAGTTTAAATTTTCTTTAAGAGGCCACAATGCCCCAAAGTCTCACTCCTCTTTCATTTAGCCTTACCTGTTTTCCCTTGTTCTTTATGAAGAATTTTCTCTGCTCTCTGATCCAAGTAAGCAAGGGCCAAAGCACTGATCAGTGAAAGAATACAGGTTACACCCCCTAAACAAAAGAAGATTATTAAAACAGATCCCAAAAGGCAACATATTATACAGGCAGCAGAAACATAGCAACTGAAAGGAGGGCATCTTAAAGCTATGAACAAGGAAACCCAACAGTTACCAACCCAGACAAAGAACAACAACACAGGGCAAATTCTCAATAAATAGTTAACTTTATTGCATTACTTCCCAGTACAAGGTTGGAGATTAAAAAGACACTACCCAACTAGTCTTGTAAAGCACAACACAAACTAGGGAAACCTGATAACTAGTTTATTGGTCCTCATTTGATGGATGCCAGGAAAAAATTAAAAGCAGTCTGAGATGCTGGCCACCCTGACCTCCTTCTTGTATCTAATCTACAATCTAATGCCACAGAGGCTAATCCTCCCAAAACACATCTCGCACTAATGTTCATCTCATCCCCATCAAAGCTATCAAAACAGTGAATAAAGTTCACTCAAGAAAAAATTTAGAAAGAAGCTTACCAAATACTACCCATGAATTGCTTTATCTTTAACTGGCGAATATACTATGGTCCAGCTGAAATGGATCAGAAGACAAGAATTCTACTACTAACATAAACAAGCTCAATGATCCTGGAAACAATATAATCTCTCTGAGCTTTGGTTTCCATGTAAAAAATGAGAGACTTTGATGTGTAGAGGGCAAGGGTCTTTTCTGGCTCTCAAGTCTTTAAATTCTAAAATTTTCCACTGTGGAGAAAACTAGATGGAACCCTGACAAATAAATTTGAGAGTAACAAAGTTTTAATTTAGTAGTGGACTTGGGGGCGTGGGTTTGGCTAAAGGACTGAGGATGTCTGCCTGCTAGATTACCCTCTTTTTAGTTGGCAGCATATGCCAAGAAATTATGAGAGATTGATCGGGGCAGGGCCCAAGCAAAAAACCATACACAGATCACAGAGCTCAGGCAGATAAACCCACTGCTCAGAAAAGCCATGAGAGGGCCAGCAAGATAGCTCAGCAGACTAAGTGCCTGCTTAGGCAAGCACAGGGAACGCAGTTCAATCCCCAATTCCTGGCACCACATGATGCGCCAGCCCCACCCCCAGGCACGCTGAGTCAGCCACAAGTCCAGGCGTGGCAGAGCATTCCTGTAACCCCAGCACTGGAGAGGCTAAAAATAGGAGGACCATTATGAATCTGAGCTGCATAGTGAGACCATGTACCAAATACATTAAAAAAAAGAAAGAAAAAAGAAAAGTCATGAGAGAGAAATTCAAAGGATTTCACACACTACTCAGTGACCCACCCAGCAACCAGTGCCATAAGCCTTGTTGACGAGAACTTAAAGACATAAGGGAGTTAAGGGAGTTACACATTATTGGTCAAAGACCCCAACATTTTCTAGAAAAAAAACCCAGACACAGGTTAGCTTTCTTGCCCAAGGTGACAGAACTGGTTTAAGGCTGTACTAGAACCCAAGATTACTGAATCCCAACTCAATTGGTTCTCAACCATTTCCTGTCACATCTGATTTCTAAGCCATCTAGTCTCACCACCAACTAACTTTGATCAAGAGGGAAAAAATTTTACTTCTGCAACAGACTATTAAAACCTTACAGGAACAATCCAACTGTTCTTAGTTTTACACACATTACCTTACTGAATACGTAAGATACAAATGCTAACACTGAAGTACAAGGAGAAATAACATCCTGCATTTTAAGAAAGTGGAAATAAAGAATCAACAACATTGGGGCCGGGGAGATGGCTCAATGGAATAAGCGCTTCCCTGGCAAGCACAAGGGGCCATGTTCAATCCCCAGTTCCGCCAAAAAACGAAAAAAAGAACAACATGAATAACAATTTCTTGGCAAAAGACCCAGCGAACTGTGGGGCAAGGCCATATTCAAAGTGCTCTGACACCAACCCTTGGGTCCTCTCCTCTCTGCTACTGTACCTCCATGGTAAGTTTCCAGAAGACACCAGATTTAGGGTGAGGTTTCACTCACCAATCAACAATGTTACCCCCAGGGTTGTGGGGCCAGCAGAACCCAAAGAAGATTCAATCTGTGAATACAGCCATCCCATGAGGTTCATGTTTACTGTGCTTCCCTAGCAATGAAAAAAATCAATTTTCAATTATTTATATCTCTACCTTGTTCACAAAAATTATTTATGATACTTAAGAGAAAAAAGTATAATTAGGATCCAAACTAAACAGGGGATAATCTCTTTTTAAAAGTATACGGAAAAACCTGACATACTAAGATAAAGCCACAGAACAGTACATAAAAAAATGCCAACTTATTAGAAAATTCTAGGATCCAAAACAGAAACCAACCAAAGCAAAAAAGAAATACACGTTAGTTCCTAAGAAAAAACTATACCACTAGTTCAGGAAAAGCACAGATTTTCCCAGAAGCTTTACTGAAACCTGAATAGAAATTAAAAATCTTCTTTTGGGGTCAGGGAGATGGCTAAGTACAATAAGTGCTTGCCTGGCAAGTGCAAGGATATGACTTCAATCCCCGGTTCCACCAAAAAATAATAAATAAATAAATAAATAAATAAGTAAATATAAAAAATCTTCTTTTGAATGTCTACAGAGACAGTGGAAGCTCTAGTAGATAACATTCTCATATACTCAGCAATTATTCTGTCATTTGCCACCCACTATTTCAGCTATTGAGAATATAACAAGAAACATAACTGAAAAAATACCTAACTTTCATAAAGGTTTCATTTTTGCAGGATAAAATAAATACACCATCCATTAAACAGTGATAGATGCTTAAAAAATAAGGAAAAACATAAATCAGGGTAGAAGAATATAAAATTGGGAGAGGAAGCTTCACTGAGAATACGACTTTGGGGTAAGACTAGAAAGAAAGCAACCAGCAGGATGCCTAGGAAGAGCAGCGGGCAGGAGGGCAGTCCACACACAGACAGGCCTGAGGGGCAGCGTGGCTGGATGTGAAGGGACTGGGAAGGGGGCCAGAGACTGGGGCATGGAAAGAGGAAAGGAGACGAGATCTCTGGCAGACTGGTCAGGAGGGGAGCCTCAAGGGGATAATAAGCATTTCTCATCTTTTTCTACATGAGAGCACCACTGGGGCTCTGAACAGGAAAGTGGCACAATCAAAGTACTCTTTGATGGTCTTGGTCCAGCTTCTGTATTCAACAGGGACCACAGATGTGGGCAGAGGAGAAGCAAGGGCACCATCAAGAAGCTCCAGGATAACCCAGCACCAAGATGATGGGTCTGGACCAGGGTGGTTAGCAGTAGGCATAATTAAACATGGTCAGATAGGAACATATTCTGACAGTGCAGCTAACAGGATTTTCTGAGGGAAAATATGTGTGTGGGGATGGGAAACGAGGTGGAGCTCCGGATGACACCAAAGTCTCTGCAATAATTGCTGAGTAATGGTAAGAAGAAAGCTACCCTTCACTGAGGGTAAGAAACTAGCCTTTGCTTGCGTTACTACCTTCTTCCCTCTGAACTGCTGCCCTCTGCCATGTGCCACTCTTCCCTGGAGACATCTGATTATGGACTAAAATCTCTACAAACTATGAGCTAAATAAATCTTTCTACTTTGAAAAAAAAGAAAGAAAACTACAGCAGAGACAGACTTAGGAGACACTGTACAGAATATGAAGAGCTGGACTTGGATTGTGTTTAGTTTCCTATGCCTATGAGTCAGAGAAGTAAAAACGCCACACAGATGTTACCTATATGGGTATGGAATTCAGGGGCAAGGCCTAGACCAATGATATGGATGCAGGAGTGCAGCAATGCTGTTTAAAACTTCAAAACTAAGAAAAAAGATATCCAAAGATTAAGTCTTGGGGTACTCTAATATTTATAGGTTGTTATCGTTTGTGCTAGGTGTCCCCTCCTCCCCCCAAAGCCTCAGGCAGTCATGGGCTGGCTTCTGAATTTGTGATTACTGTGGGTTAGGATGCTACACCTGCCCTGGGGCAAGTAATCTGCATTACACTGTAAGGAGAGAAGCCAGCTAGCTCCTGTGAGCTGCTGTCACACCCTTTGTTCTCCTGCTCTTTGCTACCATCACAAACAGTTGCTCTTGCTCTATGCCAAGTGCTGCTCTGCCTTGGAACCAGCTGAGTGTGGACTGAAATCTCCACAAACTGAGCTAAATAAACCTTTCCTTCCTTAATTTTGGGTATCAGGTATTTGTGCAAGCAATGAGAGAAGAGAAACTGAGACAGAGGTTGAGAAGAATAAGAGGGACTCATCAATGGAGTCTGGGCATGGTGGCGCACACCTGTAATCCCAGCACTTGGGAGGCAGAAATCAGGAGGATCACTACTAATGTGGGCTGTGTAGTGAGACCCTGTACAAAAAACAAAAAACAAACAAAAAAAAAGAGGCACAGAGGAGGTGGACAGAAAAGTCAGAGGAAGACTGGAAGACTGTCCTGAAACAAACCAGGCAGAAGGGAATGCCAGCTGTATTCAATGCTACTGTACTATCAGCTTCTATAGAACACTGATAAATAATCCTGTCCTCAACAATACTCTCACAGCAAGTATCACATAGATATTTCTATAAAATGGGGGCCAACAGTACTCATCTGAGAAATAAGATAAATGAAGAACTTCTGGAAACTTTCTCCAGTATCACTGAAAACCTAAGCTCCAAAAACAGGGATACTGCCTTAATAATCTTTTAAATCTTAAATATCTAACATGGCCTGGCTTAGCAAGTACTGTGTAAGTTCTTGCTTATGAAAATGATAAGTTTAAAATTAACAAGCTGTAAATGAAAATCAAAATAACTGCTAGACTTCCAACCCTCAGCTAAGATACAAAAGAAAAGTGAGTTCACTGCCCAGTGGTGTTATCATAAGGTAACAGTTCAAGTGTCTCAACTCAAACAGGCTCACAGCTCAGAAAACAGAAAAAACATGGAAATGTAAACCTGAAGCACCTCTAATCATTCTACTGGATGTTCAGGAAACAAGAGAAGCACCAAAGGATGATATTTCAATAAGCAAGATTTTCTCAAATACTGAGTGCTTAACTAAGCAATCTCTGTAACAGAATGGCTTCAAACTTAGATAACATAATCCTTTCATTTCACATCATCTTACACCCTCAACACATTAGGTCTAAAGTACACTGGCTACAGCAGAGGAAGTACTTGGGATTCACTCACTCCCCTTCCTCCAGTCTCCCCTCCATCCTAGAAATTCCCAAAATTCCCTTCTGGAAATTTAAAGCTCCTCAGCCTGTAGTCAGTGGATTACAGGAAAAGGATTTAATGTGCATCAGTAACCACACTGAGCTCCCTAAGGATGAGCTTGATCAGCTCATCTTATGTTCTTCTTTCAGAAGTTATCAGACAACTAGATCCACTACCTCAAAGAATTCCTAATTAAAATACTTTTTACATGTCTTCTTTGACAGTGATAAAATGCCTTTTTAAAAAAATAGTAATAACAAGGACCTGAGAAAAATCCCTGGTTCTGAAAAACAGAAACAAAAAAACTAGTAATAGCCCACAGTACCAAAGTTATAATAAAAAGGATCCTTTCCTATCCTGTGGACAGAACTGGAAAATGTCTCAACAGCCCTCAGAAACCCCAATAAATCCCCTGACCCAATAGTTCCCATATCTAGACACCTTTCTTAAGAAAATAATCAGAGAAAGAGGTAAGTTTTATTGCAAGTGTCAAACTATGTTATTTGTTAATACTGAAAAATTAGAACCTACATGTACAAACCACACAAATACTCACATGATGAAACGCTGAATTAAGAAAGTTTTACACTAGAGTTCTTCTTCTCTAAGAGTATGTTACATCTTCATGTCATTATTAGTCCCTGAAAGCTTGATTTTTAAGGCAAAGATTATTTCTTAAATTCTCTTACGTAGGACTCTATGACCTAACAAAACTGCCAAAATACTTTACAAGATGCATTAATAAAAACGGAATATTGTCCCCTGGGTATCCTCTATAAGCCAAACTAAAAGCCCCGGTCATCTCTAGGCTCCCAAAACCAGGAGCACTGGCTAACGTAGTTAAAGTTCACCATGCGCACCCTGGGGAAAGAGACAGCATGCACATCATTCGGCCTAGACAACCACAGGCGAACAATCAAGAACTAAAGAGCTCTTTTCAAATAAGCAATGTGTTGTTGCACAGTAGAAATTAAAACAAGAGGTAAATGGGGAAGTCAGTAAAAGCTCCTTGTGAAGGAGGTTTCTCCTCTACATGAAGTGCAGCTTTATGAAGCTCACTGAAGTCCATGGGCCGCCCCCTAAGCGTGAGTGCAAGCAGAACGTGGAGGGCCACGCGAGGGAGCTTCAGGGCAAGCATGCCAAGAACAGGCATAAGCTGACAACCTCTGCCCAGATTCTTTAAACCAATAAATGTTTACTTTGCCACTTTAGACTATTTACTAACTAGAATTAGGAAAGAAATGCCTTACTTAAAATTAAGCAAACAATACATTCTACAGAAACATGTAAAATCAGTAACTTACCACATCTAAGTGTGCCTAAGCTAAGAGAAAGTACAGAATTCTATCTGCTGCTTCCTCATTAACCTCCCCAAACACAAGCCTCCCCTTCTTGGCTTCATTAGTTTTGTCACCATACTTACAATTCTAGCCATGCTGAGCTGGAGTCCAAACACCAGGTTTAATTCTTTGCCTTTAAACCAGCTTACAGCATATGTATTCTGGGCAACTGCTAAGGACTCTCCACCAATCCTAAAGATAGTAAAAGGAAGAAAAGTCACAGCCTTAAAGATATACTACAGTTAACAATTTTGACACTCATCCTGTCAAGAGGTAGGGAGTCTCTGTGAATCTGTGAGTTTGTGCTGCTCCAACCAATAGAGGAACCATAGTGTTGCTTATGGTACAAGCAACACTATATGACCCCCAAGATGGTTCATTAAAGATGGCATCTTGCTTTTTCACACCAACACTCATGCTCGGAGCTCTAGCCCACGCCTCCAAGCCAACTATGCCTGTGTATGAGATAGCAAGCCATACCGACGCCACATTTAAGTGCTCCAGTCAGCAGTACTGGCCTTCACAGTATCCCAGCCCAAGTGCCAAATGTATAGGTTAACAAACTTGCAGACCACTCCAGCCCCAGCCTTCCATGACTCTCCCCAGCTAAGCCCTAGACTTCAAGGCACAAACAGCTGTCCACACTGTCCCGGGTCCAAATTTCTGACCCACAAAGCCCACAGGAACAAAGAAATGATTGTTGTATGTTGAAAAGTATTAAGAATAATCTTACATATTTGCATATCAAGGCAATAACCTTCATAGGCAATACAAGGATTCTGGATTACTTTATCACCATTTAATCTACACAAAAAAATTGATGGACAGAGTCCATACTTTGTAAAACCACAAAAGTTCACACTTTTGAGGTGAATACCCAAGCTTTCCATCAATCAACCTGCATTCACTTTCTATTTTCAATATTTTGCTACCTCCTAAGTTGTACTTTTCCTCAGCTAAGCTCCACATACTTAACCATTTCTCTGGAGGCCTATAGTTAAGGCGCTTCCTCTCCTCCATATCCTAAGAATTAGCTGCCCCCACCACTCTGTACTAGTCCAAAATTATTTCCCTTCTCTACTAATTCAAATCCCATACTTTCGTAATGGCCCACTTCACTCACAAGGTCACCTCTGACCATACTTCCATCTCTGGCCCTTATCATGTTATTTATGCATTTTGCTTCCTTCTTTCTTACACAGAATATCTTTGTGTAGGTTATATATATCTACATGAAAATCTTCAATAAGTTGGGCTGGCCAGATAGCTCAGAAGACTAAAGCGCCTGCTTAGGCAAATGCAGGGACCAGGGTTTGATCCCCAGCATTCTATGCCAGCTGCCCCCTCAGGGCACGCTGAGAGAGCAATTGAGACTAAGCTTGGTGGCCTGCACCTATACTCCCAGCGCTTCAGAGGCTGAAAACAGGAAAATCACTGAGTCCAATCTGGGGAGGGAGACCCTAAAAACTCTGTACTAAATACAAACCAAAAAAAAAATTGAATAATTTATTCATGCATGGCAGACAAGTGCTCTACCACTTAGCTCTAGTCTTTGCCTTTTTTCACCTTTTTTTTTTGTAGTTTTGTTTTTTTTTTTTTTTTTGGTGGAACTGGGGATTGAACTCAGGCTCTTGTGCTTGTCAGGGAAGCACTTATTCTACTGAGCCATCTCCCTGGCCCTTTTCACCTTAATTTGAAACAGTCTTGATATGCTGCCCAGACCATCTTTGAACCTGTGATCGTCCTGCCTCAGCCTCTCACATAGCTGGAAATAAAGGCATGGGCCATCATGCCTGGTAAGATGTATTTTCAAGTTTAAGACAAAACAAGTTTGTTTCAGCTATCTCCCTCAGAAAAGGAAGCCCACAGCTGGACTTCAAACAGAGAGGTCAGCACATAAGTACTGTATTTTTCTCCAATTCTTTAATAAAGGCCAAAAGGATCTGCACATCACCTACTGAGAAAGATAATGGCTTTCAAAAATCCTTAATGAGGCACTGGGCAGGCTAGTCCAATGGTAGATCATAGGTTTAGAATGTGTGAGGCCCTGAGTTTAATACCCCCGATCCATTTTATATATATATATATATATATGTATATGTATATGTATATATGTATATATATATATGGTTAAAATAAATGAAATTATACATAACTTACCCAAAAACAAACCTTCCTAATTCCATCAGCCAAAAAGCATTAAATATTCCACCCAGAGCAAAAACAACCTATAATGTAGAAGTTAATATTTAATCAATGAAAGAGTAAATTTAAGGTATTTAAGAGAAATAATAACAGGATAAATCATAACTTGTACAACAGTTTTATTATTCCTCTGTAACCTATGAAATTAAAGTGGCAATATACATATATTTCAAGGCTTAAGATACACTATATTAGCTCTCAAGAGCATTTATGTATCCTGGTTAATTAAACTATGCATTTACTAAATACATATTTGCCATTGGAATTGATTAGACAAGAATTCAAAAGTCACTGTGAAGTAACCAGTGTTTTGATCTTTCTTACCTGACCAATGCAAACAAAGCAGATGAAAATAATTGTGCCCCATCTGTATGAGAAAGAGAGAAAGAGTTCTTTATTAATAATCCATTTGGGGGCTGCTTCAACAAAGCAGTCAGCCTCAGGTTGCTGTGGTTCGCTCCCCACAACTCCAGCTGGCCCAACATGCCCTGAAGGCATTCTGGGTCAGCCAAAAAAAATAATAATAATAATTCATTTGGGTTTTCTTTGCCCACTTCATTCCCTCCAAGGCAAGATAAAATTAAGCACTCATTTGCCCCTGAAATCATCAACTCTCCTTGGCTTAATGGTAATGTACAGAAGTCTAGACTTCTAAGGGAATTCCAAAGGCTTCAGTACATATTATTTTTTTAAACAGCTCAGACTCTTAGTGATCCTCCTGTTTTAGCCTCCCAAGAGCTGGGATTACAGACATGCCAAGCTGGGATTACAGACATGCGCCACTATGCTCTGTCTCAGCGGCCAGCTGAGTGTGCCCAGGGTGGGCCAGCATAGCATGTGGTACCAGGGATCAAACTCAGGTCCTTGCACTTGCCAAGCAGGCGCTTAGATCACTGAGCTATCTTTCTGGCCCCTGATGCATATTATTTTATACCATTATCATCTCTTAAAGTTTATTAAATAATCTTCAAAAACTTTCCAAGGTCAAAAGTATTTTAAAATATAAATTATTGTTTATAGATAGGATATCATGTCCGCATCTTGTACAGCAATTAACCACTGGGAAGAATGCATGCAATGTGTTGATTATTGAATCTGTCCTACCAATTTGGAAAAAAAAACAAAAAACAAAAAAACAAACAAACAAAAAATATATATATATAAAGTATTATTTTCTTAATGTATTTAGTACAGAGTCTACAGGGTCTCACTATACAGATTGGACTCGTAGTGCTCCTCCTGTTTTACAAAAAAAAAAAAAGAATTTAGCATTGATTCCAAGAAATTCTTAAAGTAATTTTAAAAGTATGTAATTATTAATAGCAAACACTACTCTTAAAAAGTATAAATACTATGTTAATATAATTAAAAGCCCAATATTTAATTTGAGTATCAATATTTCTTCAGAATAATGAAATGGCAGTGTTACAAGAGTGCTTAAAAATCAGCTGGGTAAACTGTTTCTGAAATTTAAATCCCTTTCAAAATCCTTGTGAAATGGTCATACCATACTGTAGTGAATGTTCTGTAGTACTAGAAAATTCACTATGGTTCAAGACAACTGAGACCAAATAAAATACATTTAACTCTTCTTTCATACCCATTCTTTTATACTACAAAATTGTGATAATTAGCCTCCGATCCTGAACACTGAAGATTTCAACTCTTATCCATCAGACATGGTTTGAATATACTTCACCAATACTGTATTTCCAGCTGCTCACTAAGTCTTCATTAATAATCTATATATAAATGGGGCTGGTGAGATGGCTCAGTGGTCTAAAGCATCTACTTAGAACAAGTTTAGCAAAGCACAGGGACCGCGGTTCAATCCCCCAGCACCACATGCCAGCCAGCCCCGCCCCCTGGTGGGCTGAGCTGGCCACACACACACACACACACAAATAAATAAAATTTAAAAAAATAATAATCTATATATAAGGATGAAGTGGCAAAGCTGCATACTGTAGTATTATTCCTTCCTAAGTGTCTAATACAAGTGGTCATAAAGAGTTCAGTAGATGAAGGTAGAAGGCTTCTGCCCATGTTGTCCCCAAAGTATTGTGAAAAATCATGTGTCCCCCTCACATCTGCATGCAGATCTTTTGCGGGAAGTATGTACTTTCTAGTGCTGTCTAAATAAACTGTTACATCACCCTTCTAAACATTCAGTATAATTGAAATACCAGAGCAATGTGATATTCCTTATGCATAAAAATAATTCTTTAGTAGAATTTGTCTGTTTTTAGTAGAAATAGACAATCTTTCTGGGGTCAAAGGAAATAAACACTATACACCAAATACTGTACATCCATTTTTTATTTAATCCTCATAACCATCTTGCAAGCTAGGAATTATTATCCATTTTAAGATTATTAAAACTAAACCACAAGAAGTCACAGTTTAGGGGCCACGGAGATGGCTCAGTGGAATAAGCGCTTCCCTGGCAAGCGCAAGGGCCTGAGTTCAATCCCCGGTTCCGCCAAAAAAAATAAAAACAAAAAAAAAAGAAGTCACAGTTTAGAACAGTTAAGAAGTTGAGTAAGTGTGGCTGGGGAGATAGCTCAGTAGAATAAGTGCCTGCCTGGCAAGTGCAGGGTCCAAAATTCAATCCCTGGCACCGCAAAAAAAAAAAAAAAAAAATGTTGAGTAAGTGCTGGCAAGGAGATTCAGACCCTGGTTTGTCTGATCACATATAGAGCATAATCTACCACCTCCAGATAAGTAAGTTACTTTATTCCATCAACAGCATCTATTACCCTAACTATAACTGATATACCAACTGTCTCAGTTACTTTTCTCTTGTTGCTGGGACAAAGTATCCAACACCTCAAATGAAGGAAGGAAAGGTTTATTTAGCTCAGTTTGTGGAGGTTTCAGTGCATACTCAGCTGGCTCCAAGGCAGGGCAGCACATGGCAGAGGGCAGCTGTTCAGGGCAGGAAAAGCAAGAGCAAAGCCAGGGGCAGCAGCTGCAGCTTCTAGCAAGCCTCTCTCCCTCCTTACATTTAATGCAGGTTACCTGCCACCCTATGACTGCATGAGGCACTGGGGGGACAACTAGACACAAACCCATTTTGAAACCACAGTTTTAATACACCAGTCTACACAATTCCTCCTAGAAATGCGTTAGTCTCACATTTTTTTAATAACCAGGTAAGATTTACCCATAAGTGATACTTTTTTCAAACTTACCGTATTCCAAATACTCGGTCTATCAAAAAGCCACCCAAGAAACACAAAACAACATTGGGCCAAGAATACCAGGCATACAGCAGCATGAATTTTGTGGTATTTGCCTTCATATCCTAAAAGGAAAGAAAATAGACTATTTTACCAAATAGGTTTACCAGCTAACAAATAAAAATATGACAATCTCAAATACAAAGTAGTTATATTTGTCCTTCAGCTGTAGGGCAAGTTTTTGTTTTACTGTATTTGGTTGTTAGAGTGTCTCACTATGCAGCTCAGACTCATAGGGATCCTCCTATTTTCAGCCTCCCCAACGCTGGGATTACAGTTGTATGTCACTACGCCTGGACTCTGGCCAGCTCAGCCAGTCCTGGAGAAGGGGCTGGCTGGCATGTGTTGCCAGGGATTGAAATGGGATCCCTGCACTTGCCTAAGCTTGCCTTAGCAGGTGCTTTAGTCCACTGAGCTATCTCACTGGTCCACAGGGCAAGTTTCTTAACCATGTCTAAGTCACTTCCTTAAGAATCTCAAAAAAGCTAGAGTGCTCCTGCCCCAGAAAAATGGTTACACCTGGGAGCTTGCACATGGTGCACTGTGGATGCCAGGATCAGACATCATGGCAGGACTGAACCCTCTGTATCTTCTCGATTCTTACTCTCATATTCCTCCCTGCACTGGAGAATTCCTCTCAAATAGAAGAAAAAACTACTCTTACCTATCCTTTTCCACTTTACCTTTTCTACCCAACAACTCCTACTTGTTTATGCTTTCATTCAAAAGTGCAAAGAGGTGGCTGGGGAGATGGCTCAGTGGAATAAGCATTTCCCTGGCAAGCGCAAGGGCCTGAGTTCAATCCCCAGTTCCGCCAAAAAAAAAAAAAAAAAAGTCAAAAGTGCAAAGAGCCAGTCCTACAAAAAAAAAAAAAGTGACCGGAACTCAAGGAAGTATAAATAAAAAATATATTTCTACAATTTAAAACTAAAGAACACTGTATTGGACAATATGCAGCAATCAGTATCCACATTTAAAAAAAAAAAAAATCAGAAAGCAAAAGGCTAGCCCATAGAGTAATTTGTCATTCATATGATTAAGAAAAGGGAAACAAAATTCAAACAAAACTAGTATTTCGATGGCACTATGGAAATAGCACATAATTAAGATATAAAAAATTTCAAGTCACATATGTGCTATAAGTCAATGTTTCAAGGCAATTCAATACAACTTATATACATACAATCCTTTCAGCTTGGGACTTGGTGACTCAGGGAATTAAAATGGATTCAGTATACATTTTGGACTAAGTAACCTGAAAGTTGTTAGTGCCTCAGCAGTCACAATTGCTTCAAAGCAAACAAAAACACAAAGGTGAAAGAGTAACTTACCCTTTGAATCTGAGTCTGAAGGGCAGCAGGATTATCATAGCAAAAGTAGCTACCTAGAAAAGAGCAAGTATTTTACAAGTAATGACACTCTTCCTATAAAATTTCAAGTTACAATTACTACTCAAAAGTGATTGGGATGGGGAGATTTAATACCAGGTCTAACTATCTATTTCAGGCTAGCCTTGAATTCAAAGAAATCCTCCTACCTCAGTTTCTCACCACACCTGGCCCTTAAAAACTGATTTTAATGTTTATACTTAAGGCTCAAGTGCTGACACTATGGAAACATTTCCAAACCACTTCTACATCTACCAGTATTTTCTAAGCTGGAGCCAAGTAACTTCACAGTGTTGTAGTGTCCATATAGCAAATACTAGCAGTCTAAATGAACTCAGTAACTTAATTTTATGTTATTTCCCCCATGTTTCACATGTTCATTATTTTGTTAACACCTTAACAAAACAGCTATATTTTCCATATTTAAAACTATAAACACTAAAAATTTTACAAACATTCTCAGAAGTTTCCTGTCAGCCAAAGCCACTACTCATTTTGAGAGCAGAAGGAGTTCAGTTACTCTGACTAATCAATATTTGAGATGAATTCTAATTCTATCATAGTGCTACAAATTAGGAGAAATAAAAGTTTTAAGGAATCAAATTAAAGATCTCTTGGACAGAAGTGGAAAGAAATACACTAATAATGTACTAGGATTTTAAGGTAGAATTATAATTTCTTTGGAGGACTAGGAAATATTACCTCCAAACGAATTCACCAACAATTAGCTGTCATCTTCAGTAGGGACAAATTTTTAATGTGTTGCTCTTATTTTTTGTTTCTAAACCCAGAAACTTAACGGTTCCTGCTTTAATTCTGGATAAGGAGTCAGTGCCATGTTTTGGGGGTTTTAATTTTTTTCCATAATTTTATTGAGAAACAAATAGCAATGAGACAGTTTCAAACCAAATTGGTAGGACAGTTTCAATAGTTAACACATTACACACATTCTTCCTAGTGATTAATTGCTGTACAAGATGCGGACATGATATCCTATTTATAAACACCACTAGAACAAATCCCTCTATTCATTAAGAGAATGTAACTATGTATCTATCCTAACCACTTCGAATACACAGATACAAAATGGACATTCATCTCTATCCCCTTTTTTTGTTAGGTTCCATCATTTAAATATTATAGGTGTGTAAACTCTGCAAAATATTCTAAAAGAGTCCAGTAGTCCATAATAGTATTGGGTCTTCCACTTGACTGGCAATGTCAGAAATTGTTGACCTGAGTCCCCTACAGCTCAACATAACACCATGGCTTTACTTCTGATACTTAAATGAAGTGCCATGTTTTAAAGATAACAGGTAGAAATACCTGATCTCTCCAAAAGAGAGGATGGGGGCAAAAAAAAAAAAAAAAAAGTTGCGAAGAAACCAAAATTCCTTTTATGTTTAACTTTCCTTTTTCTAAAAAAAAGTATGATCAGTATATGTTTACAATACCTAATAATTACATTCTTCTTGGGAAACTGGTACATGTATCACATCTTAAATCTCTTCTCACTGCCCTCACCTGCCTCTCTCCTTCCCATCTCTGCAAAGTTTATGTCGCTATCTCCTGCCATCTTTTATTTTTCTGTTTATATTACTTCTCTTTTAGCTTTCTCACATAAGAGAACCCATAATATTTAACCTTCTGTACCTGATTTATTTTATTTACATGATGGCCTCAAGAGCCATCATCTTCCTACCAATGCCTCAAATCTCTCCTTTGTGGCTCAGGAGGAATTCACTCTGTATACACAGGAAATATATTCAATCAGTAGCATAAAGTTCCCAAACCACATCTTCCTAAAACTGCTTATAACATAGGTTCTTCCTACCCTTCTCAAAAACACTTTCCATAAAACTAATAAGTGAATTTGCAGCGGCAATCCCGCTCAAAGAACTGCTGAGTCGTCAGGTTTTGTGAAGAAATCCCCCTCTGCCAAGCCTACCATAGGTCGAGTAGGATTTCTTCATCTAAACCCCAAAGCGGAACAGAAATACAAACGGCTGACAGTACAATCATTCATTTATAAACAGGAGGTCATTTTGTTATCGGGGTGTTACCTCTTTTGGGGGGCAGGGGGGAAGGGTGGGTTAGTTAATGCTTTCTTGAATCTCTTCCAAGCACCACAAGCGAGGTATCTTGACTATCTAGTTTCCTCCATCCCTGTGTTCCCAGGAGAGAGCTGTCCTCTGGGACTTAGAGGACCCAGGAGCAGGTCAGGTCATCCGGCTCAGAGCCTCGACCACCCACATCGAGCTGCCAAGAACCGGCCCCGGGCTGCCCGGGTGGGGCGCGCAGGCCGCAGGGGGACGGCACGAGCGGAGCCAGAAGCCGCGCTGAGCCCGGCTGGCGCCACGCGCTCCGGGGGTCTCGGCCCGGGACGTCCAGTCCCGGCTCACCCGCTCTACCCTCCCTGCCGGCTCACCGAAGCCAAGCAGGCACATCAGCAGCAGCACCAACAGCCGGTGCGCCAGGCGGCTGGGGTCGCAAAGCGCCGACAGCGCGCCGGGGGCGGCGGGGGCTCCACCGCGGGCCTGGTCGGGGCCGCCGGCCAGCAGCGCCTGCGCTTCCTCCTCCTCCTCCTCCATCAGCCACCACAGACAGAGGCAGAAAACCGCGTTGCTCCGGTCTGAGCAGGAAGCAACGCAGCGGGTGCCGGCCGGGGTTGCGGTCACGTGGCCGCGGCGCGCAAGTGACTAGAGCGCCCCTCTCGCCGGGCCGCGCTCACGTGACAGCGCGGGCGCCAGGGGGCGGGGCGGGCGCCAGGGGCGGGGCGGGCGGCCTTGCTTTCAGGTGCGGAGGTCTCCGGCCGGGGTCCTCCGGCGCCCTCCTGGGCCTGCCGGTGCCCTCGCTGCGCGCTCCGCAACCCTGCCAAGAGGACGCGTGCGCTCCGCGCCCAAAGCCCGTGCGCCGGGCGGCTTTTCCTGGGAGACTGGCCCTGCGCCGGGGACCCAACGCAGACCTTGCCCTGCCCTCGCCGCCCGGCCCCCGGGCTTTGACCGCTTTTGGTCCTGCGGACCTGGAGCAGCTTCTGATGGGCCCAGCCCTGTGCCGCGTACTAGAACACGAAGTTCTAAGTGTGGTGGTTACTGCACTGTTTACAGTTCACTCTGCTGTGCAGCATCACTGGACACAAGTGAATGCCCCCTCCTTTCGGCCTCCTGGACAGTGTGCTTACCTCCTCCTCCCTTCCCTCCCCGTCCCGCTCCTCTGTTTACTGGGCTCTCCCGTTTGCTGTCTCATTTGTCAGGTTACGCTTTAGCTGGAGAGAGCGACCATCACTAACTCTTACCACTGGGGCGAATTGTGGCTGTGGGAAACCGCGGCGGAACAGGCGCTGAACCCCAGAAGTAAGAGGGAGCAGGTGCAGTCCAGCTGATTCAGGGAGCAAACGAGGAAGGGCGGGACTTGGAAGTCCCTCAAAGTTGACACCGGGACTAGACTTAGTAAGAATGAACCCCACGAGGGTTCCTGTTTGAGGGTGGTGACAGAGGATGGGTCAGCGAGCTATTAGGAGGGATAACAAGACAAGCGTGGGACAGACCTGGGTTTCTGTGTCCGAACTGATCTGGTAATAAGAGAAGGAACTCAAAAGTAGAAACACGCACTCTACTGGAAATACATGAGAAGGCATACTAGGATGCTGAGCAGAGAAGCAAGACCACAAGATTTGTTTCTAACACCTGAGTTTGTCATCACAGCCTCACCTCCTTTGCCAACAGTTTTGAAGGTAGTAAAGCTAGAGGCCAAATAATTGTGAGGCTTATGAGGGAGATACTCCGAGAGTAAAGATTGGAGGTGGCCGGGTTTATCCTAGATAATAAATAAGGATGGTGTGAAGGGACAGAATCAGTACTTAGGAGGTAAAATGGGAATGACTTCAAATAATGGCATGTGAGGAGGTCTAAGAGAAGAGACTTAAAAATGTCCCCAAGATTTTTAGCTTGGTTCCTCAATAGAGGTCAAAATATAGAAGGAAAAAACGTGGGGGAAAGTATCAGAGGAAGTCAGTCAGTTTGGAATGGTATGCCTATATATATCTGCACTTTCCACGTCCCATTTCCTACCCTGCTCCCAGGAAAACTGTCTTGCCAAGATGACTAATAACTCCAGCTTTCTAAGTATGTATACTTCACTTACATTTTACTCTGCTGTGCAGCATGGCTTGACACAGTGCAATGTCCCCTCCTTTCAGCCTCCTTGATAGTATACTTACCCTCCTCCCTTCCCTCCCCTTCCCACTCCTCCTCTGCTTACTGGGCGCTCCCATTTGCTGTCTCATCCCTTTTTCCACCCAGACCTTGCAAACTGTTCAAATACAGACCTGGGGTCTATTCCCATAGTTTTAAATATCCTTGCTGTGCTATCCAATAGTTAAATTGTACTCACCCTGTGTGCCTTTTGAGTGCTTGAAATATGGCTAAGTGGAATTGAGATGTGCAGTGGGATTTTTGTTTGTGTTGTCTTTTTTTTTTTTTTTAAACTCTGCTGAGGCAACATTTCCCTATGCAATTCAGACTGGGCTTGAGCTTACTTTGAAGCCCATACTGACCTCAAATTCACAACCATCCTCCTGCCTCAGCCTCCCGAGTACTGGGATTAAAGGTGTGAGCCACCACGCCCAGCGCAGTAAGTGCAAAATACTCACAGGCTTCCCCTCCCATAGGGCTGGAATTACAGATATGCTCCACTATGCCCAGATTTAGTCTTTAAAAAAAAAAAAAAGAAAGAAAATTACATTAGATGGATGTGTTCTACCTTATTCAGTAAGTCCCTACTGATGCATGTTTAAATTCAGCATTTTACTGAATTGCCTAGTCAATGAGCATTTCACATATGCTGACTTTGCCTGTAAGATCAGTTTTAAAAACCTCAGTTGCTAATCAGACAGTAGGTATATTTTTAAATTTTTGTTAGGTGATACAAAGTTGTTCATATTAAGTTATTCCTGTTTATAGTTTTGGCAACAGTGTAGCTAAGAGCTTGGTTACCACACCTTCTCTAGTCAAGCTCCTTTCCAGTTTTCTTTGGTCTTTGCAAATCAGTGAAAAATGCCTGTCATGGTGCAGTCTCAGTTTGCATTTCTGTTACATCAAAGGAGCATGATTATCTGTCTGTCTGTCTGTCTGTCTGTCTATCTGTCTATCTGTCTATCTGTCTATCTGTCTATTCATCTGTCTATTTTTGCAGTGCTAGAGAGATCGAACCCAGAGTCTCTCATATGTTAGACAAGTGCTCTCACTCTGAGCCCTGCCAGTCTGAACCTCTTTCTGTATAACGTCATTCATATTGTCTTTTCTATGAATTTACTTTGTGTCCTTTATTTTTTCTGAGGAGTGAAGTTTTTTTCTTTCGTTATTGACAAAATTAGTTTTTTGTTGCTGGCATGAGTTACACTTTCTTTTTACTCTGCTGATAGTTATTTGTTCAAGCTACTCTTTTAATGCCAAATTATCTCTTTTTCTAATAACTTCAGATATTTGCTTCCCACATAAGATGTTTAACACCCTTAAAAGCCAAGCCTAGTGGTACACACCTACAGTTCCAGCTTCTTGGGAAGCGGAGGATGAGGCTGAGGATCTCCTGATTCAAAGGGTTCAAGGTAAATCTGGGCAACATAGCAAGACCCAGTCTTTTTTAAAAAAACATATTTTTCAATAGTTTTTATTGGTCTCTCCTTCCACTGTTGCATTCTACTGTATATTTTCCACAAACCATCAGAATGATCTTCTAAGTTAGTCTTAGGATTTGGTTTACCAAATGATGAGATAACCATTCAATATTTGAACTAAAAAGACAAAACTGAATTATTTTGTATGCTTTTAGGAAGAAAAAAATATGGCAAATAAGTGCAGTGTCTCCAAGTAGATCATACCGTTGATTCCACCTGGAGCCTTTGAGAAATAGGGCGTCCAGCATAACCAGGAGCCTTTCAGAGGCAAGAATGTTTGATATCCCTCCCATATAGAAGAATGGATACTCTTGGAAGACTTGTTAAACCTCCGATGAATTTATTGAAGTGAATCTGTGATCAGCTGATATTTAAGGAAAGAGCTTTGTGAAACCAGTTTAATCAAGGCAGTTGTTGATTAATCAGATGGGCTTAAAACTGGGTCTAGGAGTATGAAAACCTTTAATTCTCAGGGTTTTTCTTTTAACTACAAAAATGTGGGTCTGGTGGGGGTGGCTGGCTCACTGATACGGTACAGGTACACAGCCCTAGATTCAACTTCCAGTAACCCCCAAAAGTAAAACTTACAGAAAAATCAGAGACTAAGATACCAATGTGACGCAAAATTTCTATCTGAGCACCGAGAGGACCTAGAAGAGCACTTGAGTGCATGGTAGTGCCTTTGTGCCCTGTGTCACAGATGAAACGTTCTCCTTGGGAGTTCAGTATTATTTAAGTAGCAGTGGAGAGATTGCACATAATTGCCTTGGGCTAGTGGTAACTACTGAACAAAGGAGGAAGAAGGGAGCCCTCTTCCTTACAATAGAAAGCCAACTAATAAATGTAGAAAGTGTGAGGGCAATAGTCACTATTTGCCAACTATCATAATTGATTCAAGCAGTAATACTGTCATTGAAACTAGTGTATAAAAATCTGAGCATACTGGAAAACATACATGATTTCAAAATATCTCCTCATCTACTTATTAATAATAAAGGAGCAAACAGTGCAGAAGCCCAGCACATGTATCTTTAACCAAGTGATCAAAGACATTATCAGGATTTAGACAAATTGACATCATGTTTTTCTTGATACATCCTGAAACTGAAAAAACCGCACTCTGTGATATATCTACCAGAAATTCATAACCAAATTTGTTCAGGGGGGAACATCAGACAAGCCCAAAGTGAAAGGCAAAATAACCAATCCATACTCCTCAAAAAAGTCAATGCCGAGAAACACGAAGGAGCTGGCCTTCAGTAAGAGACTGGAGAAGACAACAACTGAGTGCTCCCAAATTTTGTGTGCTACAAGAAACATTATTGGAACAGCCAACAAAGACCGAATAACACCTATGATTATATAATGTGTGCTCTGTCTAAATCAACTCACTGATTTTGATCATCATACTTTGACTAAGAAAGTAATTTTTAGAAAACACTGAGATATTAGAAATCAAGGGGAAATATGCCTGCTGCTTACTCTCAAATTGCTGAAGGGCTAGGAAGCTAGCTCAGTGGCGTAAGTATCTGGCAGTTAAGTGCAAGATCCTGAGTTTGATTCCCAGTGCTGGGAAAAAAGTCAAATTGTTGAGAAAAGTTGTGTACACACATAAAAGGAAAAAGGATGAAATGAATGTGCCAAAATGTTAAGATTTGGGGAATCTGGATATGGGGTACATCAAAATTCCTTTTACTATTCAAACAACTTTTCTTTAAGTCTAAAATTATGCTCATCATCCTTAGGCCTCTTGAGCTTCGAGTCATGTGTATAAGCACAGCTTGATAGATGCTAGAGTGGACGAGTCTCAGATCAGGAGAGTTACACCAGCCAGGAGTATTATCAGGAAAGTTTGCTTTCCATGGAAAGTCCTGTTGAGTGTCACAGAATGGACATGTTCATCCTAATTGCAACCACTTATCTTACCATTATCTCACAGAAATATGAGACTGACTTCAGGGTATAGGCATAAACTTGACCAGCTGTAACCACTG